TTCTTCACCCAAAGAGTGATTAACACTTGGAATTCACTGCCACAGGAAGTGGTGGCGGCTACAAGCATGGACGGCTTCAAAAGGGAATTAGATAAGCATATGGAGCAGAGGTCCATCAGTGGCTATTAGCCACAAGGTATAGATAGGGGCTCTGGGGCAAGTGATGCTCTGTCTTCTTGGTGCTTGGGGGGTGGGGTCAACAGTGGGAGGGCTTCTAATGTCCTGGCCCCACTGGTGGACCTCCTGATGGCACCTGGTATTTTTGGCCACTGTGTGACAGAGTGTTGGACTGCATGGGCCTTTGGCCTGATCCAACATTGGTGTCTCTTATATTCTTATGGGAATTCAGAGAAGCTTATACAGACTGTTACACTATAATGATATTAAAAATTTAGCTGCTAATTAAAACAAAACAACCAAAGCCCTGGTGCTGGGGAGGGGAGAAATTGCTCGTGTATTTGTGGTACCAGGAAAACCCTAACTTTTCTACCCACACAGCAGCTATCCAAGCTTTGCTGCAGTCTTTGCAAAATTTCACAGCAAAGCAGGTTTGGGAAAGACTGAGGGAAAAGCTAGGGAAAACCCAGGATATATGCACAAATGCACCACAATGCTGTGGAGAACCAGGGGGGAAAAGACCACTCCCCAATAACATTGAGCCCAGGGCAAATAAGCTAATTAGTTTTCTAGCTGTGAATGCGAAGTGATACTATAGATTGTTGGATATTACAAATTTGGGAGGAGAGGTTAGAATTTGATTGCAGTGTTACACATGGAAATGGTCACATATCTTGCAGTTGTCTCTTGCAGAATTCTCTTTTCCATGCCCAGTGATTATAGAGGTTCAGTCACTTTCTTTGCTTTCTTCATGTCTGTCTATAGTCTTCATTTTCTTTCTTCCTTTATTTTCATAGTCAGTAGTAAACCTGATCAGTGAACTGCAAGAACAGATGTGTAGACTGCAGTTGGAGATTAATAGTAAAATCCAAGAAAGAAAGTCTCAAGATAGGAAGCCAGACATGGCAACAATCGGCCCTCAAGACAGCACTGAATCAATGACAGAGACCCCTGCTCAGAAGAATTGCTCTTGGTGTGATGTATGAGAAGCAAATGCTTAGCTTGAATCTGTGCGTTGCCCTGTTTCAAAAAGCAAGCTTAACACTACTAACTGGAGACTTGTTGTGATGGATTGGCATTAATTGGTCTGCTTTTATTAGACTGTGTTTAACCAAAAGACAGATTTTACTAGTCTTGGCTCTGGACAAATAATAGAACTGACCGTGCCTGCAATTTTAAATCAGTTCCGTGTCCTACTTCTTGCTTTAGAAGGATTTTACTGTAGGTGCGTAAAACTGTCTCCCTATGAACAGCGACACTTCAGACAGCAGAACTGGTTTTCCTGTGACTGCTCTTTCAAAAGATATGTCTAGATTGTTATGGTAGTCCAGTTTGATTTAGATCTATTCTGGGGTTTACTCAGTGAGTCTTGGTTGTCCTAAATGAAAGTAGGCTTAAATTGGTTGTGAATTACGTTCTATTGTTCTCTGGTGGTGTACTCAGTATGTAGCTTGTGGCCTGCACAGCGGATTTGTTTTAATACCAGAAAATGTTATCCATGCTCAGTCAAAACCCAGAAATCTTAGGAAAACAAGGCAGTGCTTTTGCTAAAATCCTTAAGCTCAGAGTTACAGAAGTACATGCCCATGGCACTTAGAAAGATATTTTCCACACATGCTCACATTCTGCACACAGGCACTGAAGGACAATATGGCTTTCAAAAGAAAGGGTAGAAGTTTCCTTACTGTTTGGATTCTCAAAGATCAATGGAAGCTCGTCAAAATCTGGCAGAAGATTTTCTAATTGGATTTCAAGGGCTAAAAGGACGGTGTGTCCCAACTGAGATGAAAGTGTGGGAATCTAGTCATCCCTGGTTCCAGGTCCCATCATTGATTTTTCAGCTTCTGCTTGGTGGCTGAAAATCTTTTATTTATGGAATTGTAAGGAAAGGGAAGCAGGTAGGCCACTACCAAACTAATCAGCAAGGTGTGGCTATGCTTCTGCTTTCCAATACACCAGCAAGTAATGGGTGCAAATGAACTGGGCAGATTGAGAAGCATTTGACATTTAGTACCCTTCAAAACGAAGATTTAATTCTGTTGAAATTATTCCATACATGAAATAATTTTTAGACTAGTTGTGTTTAGGATGAATTCTGTAACTTTAGGACCTTGGTAAAATTTCTGTCTACAAGCCTGCTTATAAGAAAATCTTAAAATCACAGGCACGCGTTTTTGGCTCGCCCTGTGCCTTCTAAGATGATCAAATGAATGGAAAAGCCACAATAAAGACTGCATCATGCATGTTTAAACCCCTTACGATTTGATTGCTTACCCTTTAAACAAGCTTTTCAGTAAAGGCTTTCTGGAATTTATAAAACAAACCTTTACTGTGTTTGATCAAAAACCACCTCACATGTCAGGCTGAAAGCAACTTTGGTTAAGCTGATGAAATTGAACAGAAGAGGAATGACACTGGCATGCCGAACATAAACTCTTTTTAAGACTTGTTTTTAGCTCTAAGTTGCAGTGTTGTCTTGGCACATTTTAGAGATGTGTGTTTTAACTGGCTCATATTTGATGAAATTGGTTTTTAAAAACCCAGTATTTTTTCTGTATCCCCCCCCCCATCATTTCCCCTTCTGTTAAATGCATCAGTGATGTTTGTTACATAGCATTGACAGAGAAACCAGGATAAAATAGAATGACCCCGAAAGTTAATTTCAAGCACGTATTAGTAGCAGACTCCACTGTGTAATTGTGGTTTGTGAGAATTTTATTATAAGTTTTCAAGTTGACTAAGCAGAATGTAAAATAATGAAAGTAACTTTCTGAGAGCTTAACTACGTGTTACTTGGGAGATCAGCAACTGGATATTTTACTACATTGATTTGAATTGGGACTCTTGTATGAGGGAGAAGGATTTCACCATCTCCCACATGCTGTTTTATTAATAGAACTGTTTCCGCTTCCCCCAGCTTCTGTTAGTCCTACAGTTTAGTCATTCTCTGTCAAAATTTCTGTGAGGGCAGATGGTCAGTTTTTCCTGTCTCTGTCCTGCAGCTCTGACCCAAATATGGTCTCTTCCTTCTTGCCTTAACCCCCCCCCCCCAGATCAGTAAACCATAGTCGATCTTGCATTACATAGAACATTTTGTTGGACGAGGAAAAGGGACTGCATAGCTCATTCAATTAACTTGCAGAGCTGACTGCTCTTTACATTTTTTTAAAACCCAGTGTGAGTACAGTTCACGGCCATCATCAGGCTTCTTCTGCCCTGTCCTGTTAAGTATTTAAAGTGGCTCCTCAGTAATATCTCAAGTAACCAAACTAGAGGTGACAGGAGACCCACATGTATTTATTTGCCCATCTGTCCATTCACATGGTCAGGTCAGGTCTCAATACAGTATTGAAGCAAAAGATACCAAATAACTGAAGCGGAGACATTCTGAGAGATCAGATGCAGCACTTGTCTTAAAAATGCAATTATTTGTGTTCCTCAATGTGGCCTCCTTCCTTGCCTCTGCCTATTTACACACGTGCTAGCAGGGCTTTTTTTGTAGAAAAAGCCCAGCAGGAACTCATTAGCATAATAGGCCATGCCCAACAGCAGACACTCATTGGCATAATAGGCCACACCCTTGACAGCACAGCATATTAGCATATTAGGCCACACCCCCATGTTACCAGAAGTGTGGTCATCCAGCCACACCCACCTTTTGCTTCTTATTCAGTTTACCTTGTTGTCAAAAAAACCCAGGGCTTTTTTTGTAGGAGGAACTCCTTTGCATGTTAGGCCACACACCCCTAATGTAGCCAATTCTAATGAGTTTCTGCTGTTGGGTGTGGCCTATTATGATAATGAGTTCCTGCTGGGTGTGGTCAACTTGGGAGCCAGCCGGAACTCCGTTCCTCTGCGTTCCTGCCCAAAAATAGCCCTGCGTGCTAGGATGCAGCAAAGAAAATCTGCAGGCAGAAATAAGTCTCTGCACATGGATTGTCCTTCTAGATACATATGTGGGAAGTTGGGAACTGATTTCAGGCACCCCTTTGCCTTGTCTTTCCCAGCAGGCAATGGGCCCTGACAGTAGCTGTCTTTTCAGTGTGGGAATTTCTTGCATGCAGCCCTGGGGCCCTAACTGACCCATGAGGAAACTTGACTCTACAGAATTCTACCAGGTTCCATCTGCAAGAATGAAAGAGGAACAGAGCTGAACCACCACTACCACACTTCCCTTGCCCATTTTTTTTCAAAGTGTTCCTTCATTACAGTATTCACAGTCAGCCCCTGACATTGGTCTTGTTTCAGCCCCATGGCTGTAATAATAACTGAAGAGAGCTGTAATTTAGATCAAGGTGCAATTTAGATCACGTTCCCAATCAAGTTAGCACCCTACAAAGATGTTTTGATTTTTTAAAAAAAGAAAAAGCAAGGGATAAGAACATAAGAGACGCCAATGTTGGATCAGGCCAAAGGCCCATCTAGTCCAACACTCTGTCACACAGTGGCCAAAAAGAAAAAGGTGCCATCAGGAGGTCCACCAGTGGGGATAATACTGTACAGCCTTGTTAAGTCCTGAACTTAACAAAGAGTCGGAGAGTGATTTCTGCTGCTGTAGATCTACATTGAATAAACTATATCAGTGGAAGGGTAAATGAGGACAAAGTGATGAAATTGAGGCCTCTGGCTCCTGAAAAGCAATGACTACTTTATGAGTACATGTGGCATGAGACAGCAATGTGGATCAGCGGTCTGAAAATGTATGTGTTCAAATGCAGTTCAAACCAAATGAATTCTCATGCACTTTTTTGTTAGAAGAAGGGAAAGGGGCACAAGCCTCATATTCCTTGGCTACAAAGTGACTAGGAATAGTTCTGAGGGCAGTGCCCTGGTCAAATAACATGTTCGTCTAGTTTGGGGAATGGGGAATGTACCAAGAACGTGCAGTTTGTCCTCTACCTCCTGGCATGTCTTGTACAAACTGGGGAAACTGTGATAAGGCATAAGAGGATTAAAAACCACAAGGGGGCGGGACCCGCAATACTTGCGGGGGGGAGGGACCTCCACACAGGAGGCAGAGGAGGAAGAAGGAGGAGGAGGTAAGTTCCCCCCCATCCCGCTGGTTCCTCCCCCGTCTCCTCCACACACCCCCGCTCGATCTCCTTCCCTTCCCCCCCCGGCTTCAAAGCGAGGCCCAAGTGGCAAGCCGCTCGGGCCTCGCGGCTCTTTCCCCCCCGCCTCCGAAGTGAGGCCCGAGCAGCTTGCTCTCTTCCCCCCCCCAAGCGGCGGCGGCGAGGGAGTTCGCAGAGCGTTTCCTGCGCAGGCGCAAGGGACGCTCTGTTACTTTTGGGGGGATTTAAGTATCCCCCTGATATTTTTTTCAGGTTTTAAGATTTTTGTGCACACCTGGGGACCGTACCAAGTGTGCACAGAAATCTCCCTCCTCCCCCAGGTGCCCCCGATGCGCGGATTTAGGTATTCTTTGGAATTAGATATATAGATGGTATGAAGGATATCCCAGTTAACACAAAGTTACCCAAGCCAAAAAAGGGATGGAGGGAAATGGTATGGAAGAGGGGAAGAGAACTGTGGCACATTTCTGGTTTTCCAGAGAGTTTGAAGACAGCTAATGTGACATCTGCTCTCAGCTTGATTCAAGTCCAGTAGCACCGTGGATACCAACAAGATTTTGGGAGTATTAACTTTTAAGGATTAATCTTGTTGATCTAGGGTTGGCAGGTCCCTGCTGGCAACTGGTGGGGAATGGGGGGGGGCTTACCAAGAGTGGGAGGAGGTCAGGATACATTCCCAGCATGTACCAAAAGTGATGTCATCACGCTGGGCCATCCCAGCAGGGCTCTGGCACTTGTGCAAAAATTCTATGGTAAATATGGCTTCTATTGTAGAGTTTTTGTCCAAATACCGGATTGCTGCCCAGACACCACCAATGTGTCTGACTCTGGAGTTGACTAGCGTGATGGACAGAAGGCTGTCCTGCCCATGAGAGGTAAAATAGCCAGGGCTATTTTTGGGCAAGAACGCACAGGAACGGAGTTCCGGCTGGCTACCAAGTTGACCACGCCCAGTAGGAACTCATTAGCATAATAGGCCACACCCAACAGCAGAAACTCATTAGGATTGGCTACATTAGGGGTGTGTGGCCTAACATGCAAAGGAGTTCCTGCTACAAAAAAAGCCCTGGGTTTTGACAACAAACAAGGTAAACAGAATAACAAGCAAAAGGTGGGTGTGGCTGGATAACCACACTTCTGGTAACATGTGGTGCGGCCTAATGTGCTAATGAGCTGTGCTGTTAGGGGTGTGGCCTAATATGCTAATGAGTTCCTGTTGTTGGGTGTGGCCTATTATGTTAATGAGTTCCTGCTGGGCTTTTTCTACAAAAAGAGCCCTGGACATCGCCATGTTTCCAGCAACACAGCCTGGGCCTCCCTCCTGCTCCTGGTAAGTCCCTCCCACTGGCCAGCTGACCATGGGAGGGAGGGCCCAGAGGGGCTGACAACCCTTTGTTTGTTTCTAAGGTGCTGCTGGACTCAAACGTAGCTGTTCCACTCCAGACCAACACGGCTACCCTCTGAAACGGCATATAGGCTGCAATCATATACACAATTAGACCTGCCATAGACGCGAATGCCAGGCGTTCTGCTCCACCACAGAAGCGGAGTTAAAAGACACTGGGGAAAATCCAGCGCGCTCTCACAGTATCAAAATGGGTCTAATCAGGCCAACCCGACTCCGTGCCGTTGTTTTTCCCCCCTTTGCAGTATGCACATCAGCGCAAACTCCATAGGGAGCCTTCAGTGCGGAGATTCAGTTAATCGATTCCTCGTTTAAGCGCATTGGAAACAAACAGCAAAAAAAAACCCCCGACTTTTCCGCAGTTGTGTCTGATCACGCAGTGGCGGGCTGTGCCTGCAGCTTCCAAGGACTGTGTGATCGTGCAACTGCAGGTCAAATTCCTCCGGAGGAAATAGCCTCGCTTCCCCCACACACACTTTATTTTACGAGTGTGACCGCAACCTAAGCTTTTTTTTTCCTCTTCATTTTTTGTCAAGATACATTCATTTTCTTGTGTTTAGCTTTCCTTGAAAAGTGCCTGAGGTCACAGAGAGCTTGTTTTATCTGGATACTAAATTGAAATCAGTCTTACAGCCTGCGATAGCTTTATTTTTACGGAAATGATAATGTTCATTGGAATGTTTTGCTCCTGTGTCCAGTGTGTGAGCAAATGAATTTTGTTGTCTCTCGTAGTTATTTTTCCCTTTATTTCCTTTCCAGAGTTTATTACAGGAACTGAAACACCTAAAAATTAAAGTTGAAGAACTGGAAAATGAAAGGAGTCAGTATGAATGGAAACTGAAAGCAACTAAAGTAAGCAGCACAGGTTCACTTTGGACTAATTTGCCACCAAGAGTATGTTTATAAGGAAGCTGCAGCAGTAAATATGTGATGTAATGCTGCGCCACAAAGAATTTAATGTCTGCTTGCCATTGTCCATTTTGCCACATTTAATGCTGGCTGTCATTTAAGGTATTTGTGGAAGAGTGCTCATAGTGAATGCCAGTGGATTAAAAACAAAACAAAACCCTGTTCACATTGACTTGTTTTAGTTCCCTAAAGCATATTATTCCCAACAATAGGATTCGTAGACAACCAATTGTACTTAAAGGTACCCGTGATAATGCAGTAGTGGGAAGTAGTGGTTAGAATGCTGGACTGGGTTCTAGGAAACATAGGTGCAAATTGCCACTCTGCCTTGAAATTCTCTGGTGACCTTGTATTCTCTGGTGACTTGGCCTCAACTACTTCACAGGCTTCTTGCGAAGGTAAAATGGGGATGGGAGAAGGGTGTGTGCCACCCTTAGCTCCTTGGAGAAAGCACAGAATAAAAATATACTAAGGGTTGCCAAGTCAAATTTTCTTACTGGCGGGGGAGCCTCCGGGAGCGACGTCGATCATGTTGAAAGCGTGGCCCCGATCGTTGGAGGGAAAACCATAGAGTTTTCCCTCCGACGATTGGGGCCACGCCCCCAACGTGATTGACGTGGTTGCGTCACCACCGGTGACACAGCCACGCTGCGCTTCGGGGGGCGAAGTTCCCCCCCAGGGCCCGATTCCACGGCGGCGGAAATCAGGCTCTGAAGCGGGGGTTTACCCGCCCCCACTTGGCAGCCCTACCTTGAGGTAAGGGAGATCTTAGCCAGTGCAGAAACAGAATAATATTGCCGTGGAATGGAACCTACTACTGGAGGTTGGAGGTCACCCTTTCCCTATAGATACACATAAAGAGAACTTGACAAGAATCCCTCACAGCTCATTCGCCAGAGAGCGAGAGAGCCTCTACCACCTCTGTACTCACTGATTCTTTTACTACCTTTAAGAGGCACTTATACAAAGAAAAACTCATTCTGCTTACCTTTTCCAAAGGAAAGAGAGCATTCTCTTTTGGCTTACAACAGTACAGAAAATTAATTGCTTTATGGGGGTTTCATTTTTTTCTTATTTTTGTATTTGTTTAAAAATATGCGTAATATATGTTAGAAAATAGTCATTTCACTTCTTTTCTCGGATAAGGGTTGGTAAATGATGGAGACAGAAAAGAAGCTAATAATGTTAATCTGTTATTTCAGGCTGAAATAGCACAGCTGCAGGAACAGCTGGCTCTGAAAGACTCGGAGATCGAACGATTACAAAGTCAGATCTCAAGGACGTCAGTAAATCATGAAATTGCAGAAAGAGGTAAAAAATAGGAATTAAAAAATTAGCAAAGTTGCAATCAAAGCGTATATGTATTTCTACCCAGCATTGCTGCTGCTTCCTTTGATTATTAGATGTTCCCTTTAACAGGTATCTGTCACAGAAATTCATCAGTAGTGTTTGCAACCATGTTTTTTTCAATTATACAGATGCAGGATATTAAATACTTTTATGCAAAATTCTTTTAAATTATCCCTGAATGTATTAGTGTTGCAATCTCATCCCTTTATCTCAACTATTATCTATATTTCCTGTAGGAATTCCTAAGCATACAGTGTGATTTACAATAATTTTGTGATACCACACCTCTAGAGGTAACTTGCCATTGTTCCCATGTTGCAGAACAGGTGCCAAGGTTACTTGACAGATTAGTCCATAGGGACTACGGCAGCTTCATGGAGTTTTCTTCATTATTTAGTTAAATATTTTCATCTACTTTTCACCTACAATAGGGTCACAACACAGCTTGCAGCATGAAAAATATGTAACCCAATTAGCCCCCAGTCAAATTTTACAAAGGATGATCCGTGAGGATGTTATGGGCTGGGCCTGGCTCCACAGTCACAGCTCACACAGAGCCACAGACCAAATGCCGAGGGTCCTTTGGCCTTCGTCAAAGGTTTGCATTTCCGACCAAGTCCAGGTTTTGACTGACCTGCAAAAAAGTGACACGCGGATGCTCAGCCCAGGTTTATTCAGCTGAATCAGATGTTCCCCTGCTTGTGCTTTTGATAGACACGTGAAGCCATATGGTCCTGCATTCCTTTGTATCTTCCTTATGGATGCCACAAATTTCACAGCAAACCTGTTTGGCAGTCATTATTTCAGTCATGCAGGCCAGCATCTCCCAGCCAACACTGTCCCGTATCTTAGCCTTGTTGTGCTAAGCACAGGAAAACTTCAGGGATAATTAGAAGCTGACCCACAGCTGACGGGGAATAAGCTGGAAGTGGGCTTCTGGTCTACAGCCCTTCGGAAAAACCACTACACTGTGAGGCTGGAGATCAGAAGTAATTGGTGTTGAAGTACTTTTCTGCAGCTCAAACCAGCAGCTTGGGGTGGGGAGAGAAATAATTAGTTTCTTCCACTCCCGCTCCGAACTGAGGGCTGGGGCACAAGGAACAGTAGCAATCTCCTCTGCAGGCCAGCCCGACAGCTTGAGGAAGGGAGAAGAGGAAAGTAATCAGTTGAGCTTCTGTTCACATGCCCCCAGTTTGTTGTGTCTCGGTAACTCTGGGATACAGCAAAGTTTCCAGCATGAAAAACCAAAAGAACCCGCCTTCCAGGCAATGTTCCCTCTAAGCTTAGTGTGGGCTAGCTCACAGTTTTTTTAGGTTCCGGCTCACACGTTTTTTGTCTCAGCTCAGGAAGGATGGCTCCAGAGCAAACTAACTTATGCAGCAGCCAAATTGCTCGCTCACAACTTTAATGCCAGTAGCTCACAAAGCAGAATTTTTGCTCACAAGACTCCACCGCTTAGAGGGAGCCTTGCTTCCAGGTGCCTCCCCATGATCAGCTGGGAGTTGGAGCCTGATACCGATCCCTCCCACCTTAGGAAAACTTCTGTGGATATGGAGCAAAATTCCTCCAGCGGAGATCAGGAGTCTGCTTCCAGCTAATCTCTCCAACTGATGTCTGTAAATAGCCTACTCTTCAGAAGAGACATGTTGCAAACAGCTGAACTGCCTGTCCATTAATTGCTTGCATGATCACTGCTGGTCAACAAGATGCAAGCGGAAACAGCAGGTGTTCATGCATCCCTAACATTTCTACCATTCTTTCCCTGCCTTTATCGGTCACTATTACAGAGCTGCATCAGGCTTATGCTTGATATGAATAATAGCTTGTACGAAAGAAAAACCAGTACCTACGGGGACAGTTTACTAAGGCTGCCTCTTATCAGCTGCCTCTTCCTGAACAAGCACACAAGTATATGATAAACCTTCGGTTTAAACCTCTGATTTTTTAACCATTTTTATTATGAATGGCTGGCACCCTGTTGTCTTAAACATGCTTGGTAAAAACTGAGCGGTTTCTTTGTTTCAAACGGGTAAATGGTTCGCGGGGCGGGCGGGGTATAAATACAATTAAATAAATAAGATAAATAAAATTTAGGTGAAATGTTGTCAAAGATGACTTGGCACACATTGGGAATTACATTATTGTGTGGCTTTAATGGTAGTTTCCGTACTTCATAGCATTTGTGCATGTTTAGTGTAAGAAGGTTTGCATGTATTATTACTTCTCTAACAGTAGTTGGAAATGTTAACAAAATTGTTTCCTATAGAAGATTCAAAAAACCCTAGTATTGGGTTTTGACTGATTTCCAAAACGAAAACAAACACCCATAGTATTTTAAAGATTCCCGAAAGGCTACTATATCAGTATAGAGGGGGAAATGGATTGGATATTATATTAACAACAAAACTTTGCCATCTTTCACCTTTTGAGGGCTCATAAGGAACAATCTCAAGGTGTATTGAAATTCTTCTGATGAATTTCATAAAGTATCTAATCTGTGCTTTTTCTGCGTATTTTATTTGACTTTCTCCATTTCCCGTCGTAGAGGAAGTATATAGGCGAAGGCTAAAAGAAAAACGTAAGCCTTAAAATTTCACTTTACTGCTTTTCACACAAAAAATACTTC